CTCAGACCTCAGGTGAGGTCCAAGATCATCACAAAGAGGACCGAGAAGTTCATCCATCACCGGTCAAGATCAAGCGTAACTGATAGAAACCCAGGGGCATTGACAACAGGTTGCGGAGGAGATTCAAGGCCACATCTTGATGCCCAATATTGGTTATGGGAGCAACAAGAAAACAAAGCACATGCTGCCCAGTGGATACCAGAAGTTCCTGGTCCACAACTTCAAGGAGCTGGAAATGCTGCTCATGTGCAATGAGTCTTAGTGCACTGAGAATGCCCAAGAACCAAAAAGCCATCATGGAAAGAGCAGCACAGCTGGCCATCAGAGCCACCAATCCCAATGCCAGGCTGAACAGTGAGGAAAATGAAAAGATAGCTCACATACACCTTTATTTGTGCTTAAATAAACCACAGAAACCGCAAAAAAGATAAATGAAAGGCAAGGGTCAGGAGTAGAATAAAAGATAAGGAAGGATGTTGAAGTATCAGAAAACCAGTCTTACCCAACATATCAGGCAGAAGCCATCCACTTCCAAAGGCTGCAGCCTGATGAAGCACAGTAACACCTAATGATGTGAAGTAGAACATGGAGGCAATGAATTGAGTAACATAGTCAGGGTGGTAAGGGAATGCACCTCTGAAATATCACTTGAATTGAGACTAAAAAGGTTTTATTTTTAAAAAATAATTTAAAAAAAACAACAACAGCACTTGTCCATTAGGTGATTTATAGTAGAGTTTCTCATGATGAAAAGATGTATTCAAAAGCACCGGTACGAGAACAAGTTTGAACTTATCAGTGATAAAGAAATGAAAGGTGCTAGTGTGGAAGAGACTAGTACATATACCAAAAGATGGAGTCCAAAGGAAGAGCTCACAGGGCTCATTGGTCCAATTGACCCTGGTATGCAATTTGTATTTTGTATTAAATGCAATTTTAAGTCCTTAAAAAGGTACTAAACATGATCAAACAAGACCTTCTTTACTTTTTTAAATTTGTTTTTGCCAAGGTGATATACAGAGGGGTTACAGTTTCATAAATAAGGTACTGATTACATTTCTTGTCTAATGTTAACCCTCATTTTTCTCCCTCTTTTCCTCCTGCCCTCACCCACAAGTTATACAGATGATTTCCAACAGATTGTCTTGTGAGTAATACTGTTCCCCCTTTGTCCTTTGTGTCACAGTTTTGCTGTTTCCCTTCCCTTCCCTAGTTCAGCTGAACATATATACACAATACCCAGGGTACCAAATTCAAGCACAGTACTTTCTTAATGGTCCACCAAGCTAGACAAGCATGGTGGTACATGTTTATAATCTCAGCACTTGGAGGCTGAGGCTAGTCTTAGCAACATAACAAAATCCAGTGCCAGAAAAACAAAGATGCCTTGAGTGTCTGGAGTCTGGTTGATGAATAGACAGTTGTAGAAGTAGAGGAAAATTCAAAACACCATTGTGATATCACAGATGAAAACTGATGGTGGGTTGCCTGGACAGCAAAGACAAGCAGGAAAGTTGGCAGATTTAGGGGAATTGCAACACAAGGAATTACCCAACCCTAAAGGATGATGAGGCTTTGTAACAGGTGTCTAAACTTATTATGGAGGTAGAGGCAATAGCACAGGGCAAATTAACTGCTATTACAAGAAAAGGGAAGATGTCAAGGATGATGCTAAGACTTGAAAGTTGAATGCAAAGGAGATGCCTGTGCTATTATTGAGTTTGAGGAAACTGGAAAGGGGTATCTTTTAGAGTTGTTGGAAAGCAAGAGATTTGCTTTTACTGTAACTTAGGAAAGATAATGAATGTGAATTTCTGGTTTATTGTAAACTAGTTGAGGGTAGGATACATTAGGAGTGAGGGTATGAGGTGGAGACAAGACAACATGGATTCAGTGGGAAGTTGGAAGAATCGGGCTCCTGCAACATGGTAGAGAAGCTTCTGCCTTAGGATATGTGAGCATATGATTCAACATGATCCCTGATTGGACAATGTGGTGCCCAGCTGTGTCCTCATCCTTCTGATTCAGAACATGTGGTCTGAAGATGGCTCCTGACTGCAGTGTTTGGGAGGTTGATCAGCACCAAGAAGGTGGCAAAGGAGAAAGAACCTGGTAGGATGAGTACTAGCTTCTCACATGGTACTCTCTCATTCTTTAGGAACTGGAGCTGTGCTATCGGAGCCCTGGAGTATCCCAGCTCTTCTCTGAGATCTCTGTTAGTGAGCTGGACTCAGCAATCAGGCTGAAAATGGAAGAAAAGAAAAATAGGACTCTAATATGGGAGACCTTGCTGAAACCAGGTAAACCTGGAACAAGTCCATAGAGTTCAGGGTTGGAAGACACAGAGTCAGTGAGTGGGAGGGACAGGACTGTGATGTGTATTATCATATTTAGCTGATGAGAAGACAGAACTCACTAATGCTAAAGAAAGAACCTACTAATACTACAAAAAAAAAAACAGGGACAATGGCCTCCCTTATGTCTCTCCATCTGTCAAGCATCTTTCCTTCTTCCTGTATTTTTTCATTTTTAATTCTTTATCTTAAATTTTTATTATTATCTTTAGTTATACAAAGCAGTTCCCATTCTACAAAACAGTATATGAATACAAGTTGTCTGACAACATTGTCACCCATCGCTCCTAACCCATCCCTTCTCTCACTTTTTTCTTAATTGAGATTGGGTGATTACATAGCCACCCAATCAGCTATCACATTCTCTGCTGTATTTTACATATAAATCAAAGTGGACCAAGTTGGTTTAGTAAGCAGTGATAGGAAGGCCCCCTCCTCCCTGCATCATGACGATCCAGGGCTCCTATCACAGTTTAGGATCCTTGTGCCCACTTCCTTGTACTGTTAGGTCACGCTGAATTTAGGCGGTGTTCAAACTCTCAGGGCTTGTTCACAGGGTAACCCTGATCTCCATCATCCTTTCCTCTCAGTATTTGTTGTTACTGTTGCTTTTTAAATTTTTTACTTTTTATTAAAACCCTTTTGTTAGTCCTGTTTGCTAAGGTACTCTTTCTCTTGACTCTGAAATCAAACTGTAGACACACATATTAGGCATGTGAATATAGAAGATGAAACAAGGACAAGGAGGTAGCTTTCTGCTAAGAATAAGGGGTCAAATAGTTTACAATGGCTAGCAAGAAAACTCATGTGTTCTCTACCTGTTCATTCTAAAATAAGATAAAATCAAGTGGATTTTAGAGATGCTATAGGAAATATTTTGGGGGTTCCGGTAGTGGGGCCTGAAATCTGGGCCTGGGCGCTGTCCCTCAGCTCTTCAGCTCAAGGCTAGCGCTCTACCACTTGAGCCACAGCGCCACTCCCGGCTTTTTTTCTTTTTGCTTATGTGGTACTGAGGAATCGAACCCAGGGCCTCAGGCGTGCAAGGCAAGTGCTCTACCACTGAGCCACCTTCCCAGCCTAATGTAGGAAAAATTTCTATTGCTCACTCAGCTATCTTCTCTCTTTGTTAGTTTATGATGAAAGCCTTTGGTGTTCAGGTTGCCACTTGCACATAGAAGCGATCTGCCTACATGATGTCTTAAGGTCCTTCCAGCCCTTACAATTCTATCAGAATTGGTCTGAAGCTTGCATCTCAGAGGTGGCTGGGAGTTTCAAGGTGTATCATGTGTCTGTAACTAACAAATTTATACAAGTTTCTTCATCTCTCTTTCCTTCCAGGAGATCTCAGATCACCAAGTACTCTAGTACCTCCAGCCCCCAAAGGTCAGTAACAGATCTCTGAGGACACAGAAGTCCGTAGTTTTGCCAGTGCTGCATAAAGTCCTAGAAGGGAGAGAAGAGGGCAGAAAGGGGCTCCACTTATCACCAGCCTTCCAGGGATGGGCTGGAGAGGTACATGCTGGGGGTGGACAGAGTTCTACCCCATTGCTATTGCTTCTGTCCATGAAGGTCCTAGCATTCCCCACTCACAACCTCAATTCCCCATCATGAACCCCTCCTTCCTCCTGATGAGGCAGAATGCCAGGCCGGGTGCTGGCATGAGGGAAGTAGGAATCACAAATAGAGAAAGAGGGAGACTTTCTTTGCTTATTCCCAGCTTCATCTTTATCCTCAGGTAGCCTGGCCTTGCCACACTTTGTGGACAGGCATCGGAAGCAGCTTGTGAACCGAGTGACATCCGTGGACTCAGTCTTGGACCTGCTGCATGGACAGATACTGAGTGAGGAACAGTATGAGCAGGTACGGGCTGAGGCCACCAGCCCAGCCCAGATGCGGAAGCTGTTCAGTTTCAGCCGGTCCTGGAATTGGACCTGCAAAGACCAATTGTACCAAGCCCTGAATGAGATCCATCCTCACCTGATCAGGGAACTCTTGGAGAAGAGTTGAGACTCAGAGAGATCCTGAAAGCTCAGCATCTGAAATCTCAGCACTTATATTTGAGTGCTGGTTCTTCCTGGCCTTGCTTGGGGACTCAGTTTCTCCACCCATAGACAATTTGCTGAGTTTCCTTCCAGCTCTAGAGTTATGGATGAACCTTTGCTGGGTGTTGCATGTCAAGGGCTAGGGCTACTACACAGATGGCCCGCCTAGCTCTCACAGGCCAAGAAGTAACAGCAGGTACAGGTGAGACACCAGCATCTCAAGGATGTCCAGGAGATGGCAAGATTCCTCTCAAGGCTTCTTACAAGTGTATCACCATGTTTGTTCTTTGAGTATTTCAACCTAAAATATTTAGTCAATGCCTAGAACTCGAGAAGGGCACCACTTGGATTCCAGTGAAAGGAAAAACATGCAGCTGCAGTTTGCTGATGCACAGAGCATCTGGCTCTCTGTGTTTCTCAATCAGAACAAGGAAAGAAGTGGGGGATGTGAGCCTTTCCTGCTGGCCATGCTAGACTTGGCTTTTCTATTGATTCAGTTGTGTATTTGGGATTTGAAATTGATTCTCGGAGTCAGAAGAAGGATGGAGAAGAAGCCTGCTTGGGGATGGAATCTTAGTCTTAGTTGAGAGTTCTCCTCCTTTGGAAAGTGGTTCCATGTCCTCCATTAGGCTTAGGTAGCAGGGCCACATGCTGTTTTATCATCCTGGGTCACTCTTGCCTGATCCCAGGACTCAACATGTGATATTATCCCTGCAGATTCACTGCTTGTCTCCTCCACACTACACAGTGGCATTTAAGGAAAGGAGCCATGAATGTCCTGCTACCACTTCCTTTTTTGTTCCTCCAACAGTACCTGTCACATGGTGGGTGTTAACTGAAACTTTGTTAATATGATGCCAGGTGCTGGTGGCTCATACCTGTAATTCTAGCTACTATGAAGGCTAATGTCTGAGGATTGCAGTTCAAAGCCAGCCCATGCAGGAGAAAGTCTATGAGACTCTTATCTCCAATAAACTACCAAAAAGCCAGAAGTTGAGTTTTGCATCAAGTGATAGAGCACTAGCCTTGAGCAAAATAATCTCAGAAATAGCACCAAGGTTCTTAATAAGGGTACACATCTCATTGTTGTTACAATGTTTTGATGTTCCCACTCTGGCTCTGACATGTTAAGTGTTGGTCCTTTTTTTACTAAATGTGGGTCTTTGGAACATATATGTCTGATTTAGGAAAAACTGACCAAGGCTTAATGTGTCAGAGCCAAAGCGGAAACATCAAAACTTTGTAACAACAAGACATGCACCCCTTTCTCAGAATAAGGAAGCATTTCCAATCTAAAGGAATGTTAAAGCTAAGCCACTCCCTAACTTTAGAGTTTAACCCCTGCTGCTAGCAGGCTCATTGCATTCTGCTCAGGGCTAGCACTTCGCCTAGGAAAAGTGTCTTTGCTTTTTCTGCACTTGCTGAATACAGCTTTGCTAGGGCCTTAACATATCTATTGCATTTCTGGGCCTGAAATTCTTTCCCGTGTCACTGACCAGGGCAAAATGGCACAAGTATCCAGGGATAGGCTAGTAGTTGGGAACTAATTGACTGTCATCCATCTTTGGTGACACAACCATGATTCCAATGAATCATGACATTACAAAAGACTCAATCACATTACAGATTCAATTAATTATTGTCTTCAACTCATGAGAGCAAAGCCTAACACACACATACTAATCCCACCCAGGATTCAAAAGCAAAAGTTGACCTTCTGTCCCTCTCCACTTAGTCACTGCCCTGGAGCCCCCATTGACTACCCTCCCTTCCACTGCACATGACAGACAGATAAAACTGGTATGAAATTCAGAAAGAGCCCAGTGCTCCATCTGTGGCATGGTTACTCGTGGCTGCTTCTGGCCTATTTACAGTGAGGCATTCACACACATAGAGACCAAAGAAGGACATTTTTAGGAGAGGAACAGAAAGGCTTAATGCTTATGTGCATATGATCATACAAAATAATATTTATCAAAATAAAGTCCAGGAAACAAAAACAAGAGCATTTTTTCCCTTTTGCTGTTTTCTTTCCGTTTTGTTCTGTTTTTTTCCTTTATCTGCTTTTTGGGGGAAACGGAGGCACAACAGGAGAATAAATGCAGCAGTGATACTTACTGTACACTATGTTGAAAATGAACTATACTACTTGTGACTGGGATGGGAGGGACAACTGAGAAACAGCAAGGGAAGAGGCAGCATTGCCAAAAAGAAATGGACTCTATCTGACTTATGCAACTGTAACATCTCTGTACATCACCTTTATAATAACAATAAAAAATTTAAAAAGAGAAGAAGAGCAAAGTGAAAAGATTGGTAAAACATGTAGTTAGGCCAGAAAATAAGCAAAGGTAATGTTGGGCCAAAGAAAATGTGGCTACTGAAGATATTGATACCACTAAAAAGACAGCCCTGAAGCCATCCCAGGAAGTGGCCAGGCTTCACCCATGGTAGCCTTAAGGATATACACCCATTTGAGACTTTCCCCCAGAGAACAGAACACTGCTAGGCATCTGTGACCTCAGGCTGCTCCACATTTAGCTGTTCAGACATTCAGAAGCCACAGCAGCTGTAATCTGATAACTGACAACAGCCCCTACTGGTGGTGAACCTTGGTATTGCATATGTGAGGCTGATTTTGCAGGCATGTAAGGTAGAAGGTCATGAATGAATCTATCAAGATTTCACAAGAAACCCTGGGAGACCAGGCAGTATGTACTAGGGTTAAAATCCCCATAGGGAGCCAGGTGCTAGTGACTCAGGCCTGTAATTCTAGCTAGCTACACATCAGGCTGAGATCTGAGAATTACAGTTCCAAGATGGTAAAGTCCCTGAGACTCTTATCTCTAATTAATCACCAAAAGGCCCGAAGTAGAGCTGTGGCTCAAATGGTAGAGCACTAGTCTTGTGTGAAAAAAAAATTCAGTAACACTGGCCAGGCCCTGAGTTCAAACCTCAGGACTGGTACACATGTACACAAACACACACACACACACACACACACACACACACACACACACATCTGTAGGGAATCTCTCTGAGAAGTTAATGCATGAAGCTGTGGACATGAAGTAAAAGATGCAATCAGAGAGACAAAAACTGATGAATCCAGGAAATATGGAACTTCTGATGAGAAAGCCAGAGGCAGCAAGAAGAGATACCCTAGCAGAGATACTCTGTGGGCCACAGCCAACAAGACCATGTATGGTCAGGGCTGCCCAAGCTTATTGCATCTCACTTCATGCCCCAGTTGCAAGACATGTAGCTAGAAAACTGGATGTTTATCCTGCTGGGTCTCAGCCTTGCTGTGGTCTCATGAGGCCTTTCTACCTTTGAATTCTTCATTTTGGAATGTAAGTGTGTAGTCTATATCACCTTGGGCAGGAACTCTAGGGCAGGGAAGAGCTCAGGTCTGGGTGGACCAAAGGTGGGGATAATACAAACAGTGGGTGGAGGGGATATACATGTGTGCACATGCACATGCATATGAACTTCCTACAAGGTATAGGTTTCCACTGTGATTCCAGAGCAATAGTTCCCCAAAGAAGGGCCACATGACGGCTATAGGCCAACCCCTAAACATCCTGTTCCACACAAAGCAATGATATAGTGGGTGATGCAAGGAAATCTTCCCACATGGCCAAACATGTGAATGCACAAAATACTATTCTGCCAAGAACCCCAGAGAAAACTGCACCTTAGTCTAGTCATAGAAATCATCAGGCATCAATTATTCTTTGCTCCTAGGAGAACAGACAACAAAGAACAGACAGTGTCAGAGACTAATATCAAGACACAGGCCACAAAATCATGAGGTCATAAAATAATGAATGTCCCCAAGCATCAACCATGGTGTTTCATTACCTAACCTATATTGACCCTCTTTCTCCCCTCCCTCCTTCTCATGACTGTCACTTGGAGGCCTCTTGAAGATAAACGCTTGGGAGTCCAAGACACATTCACAGAAGTAGAATTGTGGCTGGGTTCTATTCTAGAGGTCAGGAGGTTGGCTTTGTTTCCAGTGCATTTGGCTGTTTCAGATGTTCCTGTGTTCTTTGTGTACTACATGTAAGATGGGGAGCTGCACTGGATACAACAAAAGGACCACAAAGAACAGGAATATAGCAGGGAAGGATAGATTAGCAAAGAAGTACTCCCTGAGGTGTGAAAGATAGGCAGGTTAGATAAAGGTTGACTGTAAACAAGTTGTCAGAGCTTGTGGTTTGAGTATCGACTAGGTAGAGTTTCATATGGTGGGAAAGTGAAGCCCTCCCTATTCTTCAGATGCTCTGACAGATGGCTCTCCAGGTGTAAGGGATGTTAAACATCTTTGCTTTTGAGGAGGTGAGAGCAGGTGTCTGCACATTGATCCTCTTTTCCCTCCCCAGTTTAATGTCACCAGTGGAAGGTCATATAGCAGTTATTACACTTTAGATTCTTTTATATGATGAGTGGGTCCATAAGGAAGATACAGGTCTGTTATCTTAACTGCAGGACCAGAGTGTGAACAGTCTGGGATGTCATTTTCTACTTCAGGAAAAATGGATGAAATCCTGTAGATCAAGTCATTTCTTCATTTATCCTCATGTCTACATTGCTACTAGACTGATAGCTTCAGGAAGTTTTAACAAATTAAATCTGACCCATCATCCTCAAATAGAAAAAACAATGGTGAAAAGCAGGAAAGGAATGGAATCGATGAAGCTGTATCAGAAAGACAATAGGGAACTTTCCATGCTCTCTCTTCAGAACTAACTACTAAATAGAAGTTCAATACTTAGGTTTAAATAGAAGAATAATTAAGGCAGAGAGTGATATTTGCATATAATTAAGTAGTCTTGGTCAAACAGTGGTTGTAATGGCCATTAATTGGGTCTGGCTCTGGCTTTACATGATGGCTCTCATTCTCATTTTAGGGCATGATCTAGTTCCATGACATGAATTTCTTGGCTTAGGAGGGTCAGCCTCAGGCCCCATCCTGGGGTACCTGCTCTCTCTATAGGGTCAGTCTCAAAGTGGGATGATCTGCTTAGATGCTCCCTGTTCCTGGAATACAAGATGACTGCAGGCATAGGGCATGATGGAGTCTTTCAAACATCTTGGTCTGGGGGTTGGGGGTGCATTGGAATAAAGGGTGTTGTGATAGCTGGCAGTAAAATACCTTAGTTTCTCATCTCTTGGTGCTTTCATCAGCAAACAGGGTGCTGTGGGGCAGAGATTACCAGCTTTGGAGTAATAGTACTTGAATAATAAACACACTTACATATTGAGTTGAGCAGAAAGCTCAGCCAAAGCAAAAGAGGCACACAAGAAATGAAAGCAGAGGTGTCAACCTATATAACTGCTTACTCATTGGGCATAGATAGAGGCCTTAGTGAAGAATCAATGCTTTTAGCAAAAGCACCTCTTGGGTCCCTTTTTAAAGACTCTGTAAGTGCCTGCATCCTGAGCATCATTCAAATCATTGTGGCCCCAGGCATCTAATTTCTGCAACTCCTGGAGTCTCAACAATAGCTCTTATATAAGACAAGCAAGTCCCACTGCTTTC